AAGAAGAGCTCTGTGAGAGAGCTCTGAACAGGTAGTCCACAAACCTTAGAGTGGTGTTAGAAAGGTCTGTGTGATATGTGTGACAAGACATGTGCTTTTAAAAGTTCACACTGGCAGTTGTGTCTTAGTCTCTAAAGACAAAGTTCAGCAACATTTTTTTCTGTGAAGGTCCAGATAGTAAATACATTACATTTTATGAGCCACATGGTATGCATAATTTCTCAGCTCTCCGTAGAGTAAGAGAAAGTAGTCATAGATATGTATGAGTTTGTTGGTGTGCCAATAAAAACTTTATTCATAAGCCAGGAGCTGGTGGCTTATGCCTGTAATTCTAGCTACTTAGGAGGCAGAGATCAGGAGGATCATGGTATGAAGCCAGCCTGGGAAAATAGTTCGTGAGACCCTATCTTGGAAAAAACCTTCACAAAAAAGGGCTGGTGGAATGGCTCAAGGTGAGGCCCCAAGTTCAAGTCCTTGTACTGAAAAAAAAAAAAAAAAAGCTTTATTTATAGATTCCACAATTTGGGACTCACATATTTTGAAAAATATGTGTGAAATGTTCTTATTTTAAAAAAATGGTTTTTGGCAAGGTAAAAACTATTCTTAGCTCATAGACCATACTAAAAAAGAGATGGCAGATCACATTTGGCCTTTGGGCCATGGTTTACTTTTCTTACTTTTTCTATCTGTCTCTTAAATGAATTTTGGTTCTACTGACATTTTTCAAGTTGTCTACAGTTTTGGTTTTTTTACTACTTTGGTAAAGCAATAACCAATTCTAAATAAAAAATAGGAATATAAGCTCTGCTTTTCTATTTACCTTAGTGTTAACATTTTTAACATGACTGGCCCATTTTTTTTTTTTTTTTTTTTGTGGCTTGAACTCAGGGCCTACACCTTGAGACACTCCACCATCACTTTTATTGTGTGTGTGTATGAAGGATTTTTGTTGAGATAGGGTCTTATGAACTATTTTTCCAGGCTGGCTTCAAACTGTGATCCTCCTGATCTTTGCTTCCTGAGTAGCTAGGATATACAGGCATGAGCCACCAGTATCTGGCTATTTTTTGTTTTTTTAATGGATAGCCTTTAAAATCATTGGTAATTTTGTATTCTTCCTGTTTTACTTTCCCCCAAAATGGTGCTTTCTTCTTTTGAACCTGACACTGAGTTTTCCATCTTTTTGTTAATTGATACAGTTCTGAAATTTAATTCTGATATTCTAAATAAAAAATGCTAGATATAATAAAAACAAAGTAAAACCTATTCAAACAAAGCCCCTCAATTGAACGCAACTTTTGCCATATGACTATACTTTTACCAAAGACTTTGGTAGATGAACAATATCCACGTAACTTCAGAGCTACAAAAACAGCATTGTGACTTGAATGCTTTTGTATAGCGCATTATACAGACAGCTGCATCACAAGATGCTGGGAGAACGTTACGTAGTAGAAATAGTACAGGCAGACCTGTTCCAAATGCTGTCTGACCTGTTCTGTATGTGTGGAGTTAGACAACTTAATTAATTTCTTGCAGCCGAGTTTTTTTAAGGCATTGAAAATACCTAGTGAGTGAATGAGAATTCCCATCTACTTTTTCCCCTTCAAGCATGATCATGTGTTACATGAATGCAGCCATGTTGAAGTATTTGAGGGAAGAATAGCCCATATTTTGTTTTGGGGAGGTGTTGGGTTGGTTTTAACCTCTTGCAGATAAGAAGTTAAAAAGAAAAAAGTAGAGTACTCCCAGAATTGAACTTAGGAACCTTTAAAAAATGAAATACATAATATTTTTTATACTTTTCATTGATGTTTCCTTTGCCTTGTCTTTTTACTTCTGAAGACTTAGGTTTGACAGTTCTCTGGAAGACGTACTTAAGAGTGGACCTCATCCACCTGCAACTCCTCAGGTGTTAAGTATCAGTAGCCAAGTAGCCACACCTTCAAAACTACCAACTACTTATTCTAGGTGGTTTTTTCATTCCTGATTTGTCTAAGTTTCAGTGCTGATGGCAAGCCTAAATACTAAAAACTGCTTGACTAAAAAAGAAAAACTGACTGATTACACAACTGACATCATTAACATATAGACAAGAATACTTGGCGCTCAGCCTCAACACACCACATTACTGCTATTATATTTTATACAATTTTTGTTTTTTTCTTAATGTCTAATGTAGAATAAGGAAGTCTGTATCTTTTATTTGCTTGCTTTGTGATTTGCAAAGTCAAACTTCTGTGTTTGTCATGTCCATTCTTCTAAATTAGAGCATTTATGTAAGAGAGAAACAGGTAGAAAAAAAAATATATATATATTCCAAGTGCTCAGACAAATTCTAAGAATATTCAGGTAAATGATAGTGCTTACAAGTATTGATAATCCTTTTATATCATTATTTGTAATAAAACATAAATTCATTATGATTTCTATTTCTTCTTACTGGAGAAAGATAATTTAGCTGAGATAAAATATGTATTTGTTTATCTGTATATCTTTTGATGGTAATGGGGTTTGAACTCAGGGCCTTCTGCTTAAGTATGCATTCTACCATTTTAGCTGCACCTCCAGCCCTTTTTGCTCTTAGATTCTTCAGATAAGATCTCTCAGTTTTTGCCCCACCTAGCTCAAAACCACCATCCTCCTACCCATGCCTCCCATGTAACTGAGGTTTCAGGTAGGCCACTACTCCTGGCTTGTTTGTTGGGGAGGGGGTCTTGCTAACTTCTTGCCTGGGCTGGTCTTGAACTCGGACCTCCCCATCTCCACTTCCCGAAAAGTTGGGATTATAGGTGTGAGCCACCACACGTAGCTGATGAATTTTTGCTGGCTTTTTAATAGCCTAAATTTTTAGTTATTGTTTGCCATTATTGCCCCCAAAATAGTAACCATTGTCTCAAAAATACAGAGTGATTCAGAAACTTAAAAGCTGAAATACTTGGTAACTTTTTCACCTTAACAATCATATTACCCTGCTTTGCACTGATAACATCTTTTTTTTCTCTCTCCAGCCCCTATTCTTTTTATAACCATTTACAACAGTTGTTAAAGCATAGCCATACAGTTCAGTGCAATGGATATATTTGCAAAATAATTATATTTGAAGTTTAAATTTTTGTGTAGTTTTTTGAAAATGGCATGCAACTGCAACTTTAATTTCCTTTTCAATAGTTTATAGTTATATCCTATGGAGATAGTACCTTATCAAATTATTCTGACAGAGAGAAGACCTATGCCCACTCTCACATTTTCAGACAGCTGAGCTCTCATTAACCTGCATTGAGTTTGACACATAATTACTTTGTGTTAGAGGTGATCATTGTCACAAACTTTTGAAAAATGTAGTCATAATATAATAATGTTGTTCATTAATAACTTACACCCATAAAGGAAGACAAAAGACAAATGTCATACGATGTACTTTTGACTCTGTTTTACTTTACTTAATAAAGATTTTTTAATTCTTTGATAACCAGTTTTGAAACAATTGTAATCCTCATGCTTGAATGTAATTTTCAAACAATTGTATCCTCATGCTTGAATATAATTTTCATTTTTGCCCAGGTATTTGATTTTTCTAAAAGACCAAAGGAAAATCATTTTTATTTTAAGTAATAAGGATTCTGAAAATGAAATTTTACTCCAGCATTTAAAAATCTTTACAGAGCTCATGAAAACAGAAATATGAAACTCTGCAGAGAAGGTGATGTTTTGGTGGTACTCAGTGCAATTACTGCTTGGTTTTGCAGAGGTGCTTACCCTTCCCAAACAGCACTACTCTTAATATTTTAAACTGACTTTTTTTAGCTGACTAAAAACAGTTACTTCTTGTTGGGTTAATAAGTATTACTGCTTCTGAACAGGCAGCCAGTTATACCTGCTTCTCCTGGAAACATATGTCTCATTAAAATGTCATGCTATTGGTATATATCATCTCTAAGGTAAAACTCTTGATATAGGGACTTTTGGGAAAAATCTATATAACTCTGCTTATAGAAATTCAAAATTATGTTCAGATTTATTTTCTACTTAGTTGTCCAAGGCAAGTCAGTCTTCAAATTTGTGTTACATGATTTTGGTACAATTTTAAATAAGTCTAGAGATGGTGGATTTAAGAGTATTTCTATGTTAGAAGTCAGCTTTATATAGGATTATATATCAAATTTTGATTTCTGAAAGAAATTCACAGTCACAGTAAATAAATGACCTTAACTACTATCACACCTGACATTGTACACCTTTATGTCTAAATATTAATGTAGAACAGTTGCTATCCTATATATTTATTTTGCTACCTTATCTTACTTTCCTTTTGTGTTTCTGTCCTCTTTCTTTCCCTAATTATCAGCATAAGCAGTTCCACAAGAAATGTGGAAGGTTCTTTGGAAGGTTTTCGAAACTTTTCTGCCTTCTCTTCTTCTGCTAGATACAGTGCTACAGTTCTGAGCAGTGCGGTTGCTACTGTGTCAGCTGTCATTGCTGCAAAAACCAGGTAGAACTACATGTGCAGTGTCTGTCTGTCCTCCACAGTCTGACAGGTCACTTCAGAGAAAACATGCCCATCTGAATCAGAGTTCTACTGTGAGCTCTTTATTTTATAGTGGATATTTTATCTAGCTTGTGGGTAAATTCCATGGGATGTTTTAAAAGTTCATCTTTTATCTCTTTCCATTGCTGCCATTTATGTACAGTATTTGTTGATTGTGTGGATTATTGATCTTGAGCACTGATTGACTAAGGTTCTTATAGTCTTCAGCTTTTATATTTGAAGCACAATCAACTGCAAATTAATTTTATGTTGATGTTATCTTCTCCCACAGCCTTTATAGGGTAAACTAAAGCCTAAACACCCTCTGAGACACCCTTTCTTCCCCCACCAAAGAAAACAGTAAAATTGTTTTGCATGATTTTGTTTTTTATATAATTTCTATAGTCTTTATAAGTTTAAATGCTTTCTAGAAGATTGCCTTGTCCAATTTTGTTGACAGTTTAATCCATTTTATAGTAAAAAGTAAAATAATACAATGAAATGGTAGCAAGCTCTTCTTTTCATCCTCCCTCACTGCTTTGTGCTTCCTCTCCCTCTCCCTGCCCCCTTGCTGGCATAGGAAATGTTTCATACCATAGACCTTAATGACTACTTTTTCCTATTGGCAGTGCAATTTTTGACCTAAAACTTTTTCTACATGCTTGCCAGGCTCTCCAGTCCTGAAAAATACCACTCACTCCTGGATGCACTTTGCATCAGCCCTGTTTCCAAGCCTTTAGCTCTTTCCTATCTCCAGTCTTCCAGAAAACCAACTGGCTCTATCCGTGTTCAGAAAACAAGGTACTGCAGGAGCAGAAATGGGAAGTGGTGGCTTGCAGTTAAGGTACTACTTTCTCTAACACTTAACCGCTATATTAACAGGCCAGGTGAGAAAACTTGAGAGCTGATTTGTACCCAATTTTGAATTAACTGTAATTTCAGTGCAGTGCTAATTTACGAGCATGCTATTTTGTGTGACTATATTAGCTCACTTTTTAATCCTTTGTGACATCTTTCATTAGCACATTTGATGTTCGGTATGAAATTATGAGTAATTGTGCTAGTATTTAAGTTACAGTAGGATCCTGTTTTATTGCATGGATATAAAGCTGTATTAGAATAGAAGTGGTAAGTAAGATACACCTTTTGAAAATATGAAAAAGAATAATAATTGATTTTGGTTAGCTACTCTTATAGTTCTTAAACGGGAAGGTTTTACTTGAAAAAGCAACTTAATTTTCATATCTGAGAAATGATTGGGCTAGCTGTTGTGACTTAGCGTCTTGAGATAAGCAATTTATTAGGAGGAAAAGTTAATTTTTTGGTTCATGGTTTCAGAGGTTTCAGTCCATCATCAGCTGGCTTTGTTGCTTTGGGGACTGTGGTAAGGCAGGGAGCGTGTGTTGCAGAGAGCCACTCACTCTCTGTGGTAGGACAGCAGAGGAGAGCTGTTCCTGATAACCCCTTCAAGGGCACGCTCCATTGGCCTGATGTCCTTCCACTAGGCCCCACCTCCTCTAGGTTTCACCACCTCCTGATAGTGGTTGGTGCCACACGCTGGCAATCAAGCCTTTGTTTGACACATGAACCTTTGGGGGCCATTCCAGATCCAAACCATAGCAATCCTAAAACACAAGAATTAATCTTTCTCCTAAATTTAATGTTTAAGCCAATATTTAGGCATAATATGACAGCAAAAATAGCCCAATTTTTTACTGATTACATAGATTTCTGAAAGAAAGGACACCTGTATGTCTAGGATCTACTATAAAATAACACATTGCTCATAATTAATGTTCTTCCAGAAATACTCCTTCCATTTCAATGTCTAGATACTAGTATATCATTTTTTGGTAAGATTTAGTCTAAAATCTGCTTAAACATTGATAATTAAACCTGTGGTATATATTCATTGACTTTCTCTTTATTTAAACATGTAATTAGAGTAAAAAAGTTACTCTCAAGAATATTGTTCAAGCAGAGTTTATCATTTCAACATAGACTTAAAATTTCCAAGTATTCCCAATCAGCAGCTGAAGTTTATTTGCTGTAGCAGTTGAACAAATTCAGGAAAAAGGATGTAAATGCAGAATAAATCATGTTGTTGGCACTGAAAGTTAACTTATGTTCTTTTTTTTTCTCATTAGCTCAGTTTTGAAACGTACCTGTTCTTATGTTAGTATTTTTTTCCATTTTTAGTTTTTAAAAAATGAAACAAAAACTGTAACATACGAGATGGAAGTCACATTACTTTATTGTTTCATTTCAGTCCTTGTTTATTTGACTTAGTAGAGAAAGTGACCATAGTTAATTCTCAGCATCTGTGGTATTAGCCAAAGGTATTTATGGATTCATACTGAGATGCTGGGGATAGAACCCAGGGCCTTGTTTATGCTAGGCATGTACTGTACCCAGCTGAAAGCATTTTAACTTTGTTTAGAAGTTCAGTAAGCCTTAAACAACTTAAATTGCAAAAGATTTGTATGTGACTCATGAATTCAGATAGTAATCTAAGTAATGACTATATTAACAAATTAGTCACTAGTTTTAGAATATTTTCCTGATAGTAATTACTGGATAACATTTTCTTCCTAAATGTAAAATGGCAAGTACTGTTACTGATCTTTTCATCTTCAGTAGATGATGCCTAGTCTTTGTATGTTTTCTTTAAATAGTAGCCATTCATTAGAAATTATAATAAAGGATCTGTTAGATCTTTAGAGATTTGGGCATTGGAATTTTGTATATATGATTGTCTAAGTGAAGTATTCATCCATTGCGCCATTACATGTTTTAATATAGGGATCTGTTGCCCAGGGAAAATTGAACTACTGATCAGTCCTGAATTTAAACACAAGTGGAAAAATTTTCTTGCTTATAACTTAGATTTTAATTTTCTTCAAGCCCTTTATATCTAAAGAAGGCAGCTTAAGATTTAAATATCTTACACATTTTGAGAGAGAATGTATATAAGCCTGTGTATAAAGAGTACAATAAAAATTAAATTGTTATGATTTATATGTTATATGTTATGATTGTTATTTCATGGGAATTTTAAGAAATAATTATGTTATTTAAAATTGAGGAAGCAAGATTTTATATGAGATCAAGATCTTGGACTCAAAACTATCCACAAACTGCATTTAGAAGTAAAATCATTATATGAGTGTTGTTTATTTAATGAATGTCCTTCTCACTAATCTTTTTACCCCTGAACTAGATAACAGAGAGTGTAGAAATAATCACTCTCGTTTCTTGAACACATATAGTCTGTGCTGGGCATTGTACTAAGTTCTTTACATGTATCATCTAGGACTTCATTTATTTCTTACAATAACTTGGAAATAAAGGTAGTATTTTTGCACCATTTTATGGCTGTGGAAATGTGCCAAATTTAAGTAATGGTACCCAAAATGACAGTAAAGTACTCAACCTCGGGTAATTTACAATGTAGTGAGAGAAATGAAGTAGAATGAAGTAGTAGACTACACACCCATGTTTATTGCGCACTATTCACAATAGCCAAGTTATGGAAACAGCCAAGATGCCCCACCACTGACAAATGGATTAAGAAAATGTGGTGTCTATACACAATGGAATTTTATGCAGCCATGAAGAAGAACGAAATGTTATCATTCGCTGGTAAATGGATGAAATTGGAGAAATCATTCTGAGTGAGGTTAGCCTGGCCAAAAGACCAAAAATCGTATGTTCTCCCTCATATGTGGACATTAGATCAAGGGCAAACACAACAAGGGGATTGGACTATGAGCACATGATAAAAGCGAGAGCACACAAGGGAGGGGTGAGGATAGGTAAGACACCTAAAAAACTAGCTAGCATTTGTTGCCCTTAACGCAGAGAAACTAAAGCAGATACCTTAAAGCAACTGAGGCCAATAGGAAAAGGGGACCAGGACTAGAGAAAAGGTTAGATCAAAAGAATTAACCTAGAAGGTAACACCCACGCACAGGAAATCAATGTGAGTCAACGCCCTGTATAGCTATCCTTATCTCAACCAGCAAAAACCCTTGTTCCTTCCTATTATGGCTTATACTCTCTCTACAACAAAATTAGAAATAAGGGCAAAATAGTTTCTGCTGGGTATTGGGGGGAGAGAGGAAGGGGGCGGACTGGGTTGTAAGGGAGGAGGTGGGGGCAGGGGGGAGAAATGAACCAAGCCTTGTATGCACATACGAATAATAAAAGAAAAAGGAAAAAAAACCAAACAAACCCACTTTCTGTCTCTGTGCATATATGGATACTGGATAACTCATATACATGCAAAGCTACAATATGGAACCTTTTATGAAGGACTTCCCTCACTTACAATAATATTTCAAAGTTCATAATTTTGTAGTAGATCGCAGTGTCCACACTCTTTTTATACCTGGATAACATTGCACTGTATACCTACACTACACTTTAAAAAAAAAAAAAGAAGTTACTATAGTAATTTTTAAAATAGCTTTTCAAATCAGTGTGAAATTATATGACATACAGTTAACGAATGCCATGAATTAAAGGGAGTATCTCTACTTCTAGAAGCTTAAGTAGTTAAATGAAATATGTTAATTGCTTAGCATGGACATCATTGTTACTTCTGCTGTTAGTCATGAATACAGTTTGGATAGGTACAAAGAGCAGGTAGGGAAGAGCACCTCGTATGTAAAGCCTAGAAAAAACTGTAAAATTTAGGGCAGAGAACAGGTGGCCAGAATATAGATTGCACGACATAGTGGTAAGAAATAGGATTAGGAAGGTAGATTGTAGCCTTATCTTAGGAGACTTTTTTTTTCTTACCACATTATTGTTGGGGGTACAATATGACTTCTATAAAAGTTCTTACAATATATTATAGTTGAAATCACCCCCTCCATCATTCTCCTACATCCCCTCTTCCCCATTCCTGGAATAGTTTGAACAGGTCTCATTTTTCCATTTTCATACATGACTGCTTAAAATTACCACCACATTGATTGTTCTGTACCTTTTCCTTATATCCTTCCCCCTCCGACTAGTCCCAACCCCCAGACAGAACCTAATTTACCTTTCTGTTCTCCATCTTTGAAAAAAGACACGCTTGTTTGTTTAAGATAGCTATATGGGGACTTTCATTGTGAGATTTCCATATGAGTGTGTGTGTGTGTGTGTGTGTGTGTGTGTGTGTGTGTGTATTATTATAACCTAAACTGGTTTATCCACTCTGTTTTTCTTTCTCCCTTAGTCACCTTCCTATGGTGATTTCAACAGGTTTAAAAAATTCCATATTCGTTCTTGTATCAACCCATATTCACCTTCTTTCCTTCTTTTACCCTCCCTCTCTCGTATGTTACCTCCCCTTAGTATGACCTGGTTTTCATAATATTGTTTGTATTTGTATTGATCCTGAGATAATACACAGCCTTTGGCTTTCTGAACCTGGCTAACTTTACTTAACATGATGTTCTCCATTTCCACCCATTTACCTGCAAACAACACAATTTATTTTTTTATGGCTGAATAAAATTCCATGTATATAGATACCACATTTTCTTAATCCATTCATCAGTTGTGGGGCATCTTGGCTGTTTCCATAGTTTAACTATTAGCCCTCCACCCTCTTAATGGTTATATCTGTTCTACCTCATTTCCATCTTCTATCTGAGCACCTTCTGATGACCGGTATCTAATTAAGTGAATAGGTTTTTTTTCTTTTGAATGATTTTTTTCATGTTTGGAAGTACTTTTACTTTTATTTAGCCAAATCTCTCACTGTAGATTCAACTCATCAACCTTAGGCAAACAGAAGTTGGTCACATAGAGTGAATTACTTGTCAGATATATGAGGATTGTTCTCTTGCTTGAGTGTTTTTTAATTCTTAGGCCAATATTACCACTTCCCAGCGCCAGACTTAATTAGGCTTCTTGACATTTAATTCCTGTTATCTTTGTTGCTCTTGTGTAAGTAAGTTTGTATAACTTTCTCCTTAGAGTTATAACTGTCTAGATCATGAGTTTTCTTTGTCAAATCCACATGAGCAGTTTAACCCTAGGACGACTGTATATAAATTTTGTAAAAATTATTTCTGATGAGTAAAAATATTGAAAATGTTTTATTATTTTGAATATCTTTATTGTCCTTTTCATATGCTAAGTTCACATTCGTTTCTTAGAGTATGCTAAGTACTTCATACATAATTACCTTGTTTAAATTTCAGGGAAATCCTACCAGCAAAGTATTATTCTCATCTAAAGTTTAGATATCAGGTTTAGGAATGTAAAATGATGTGCCTATCACAAAGCTTTTAAAGATGTTTTTTGAAACCACCATTCAGTCCTGTCTGAACTCTGTTTCCATTAATGCTTTTCCTATTGCCTTTAATGTTAATTGTGTTCAATATTTCCATTAAAGAGGCAATTTTGTATTTTTCACATATGATAAAAGTTATTAAAGTGCTCAAATTTTTCATTGTGTAGTATGTTTTTAACATGTAGCAGATTTTGGCTTCTCATTGCATTGATCTGAAATAAAAGATGATGCTCTGTTACACTTGGATTTGAGAAGGCAGGAATAAGCAATAATATTTCAAGAAGGTTAAAGAATCTCTGGTATGATTTCTCAAAATTGTTCAGTGTCAGAGGTGCTACAGGACCGCCCCCAGGTTTCATATTTCACTAGCAGGACCAACAGGACTCAGTGTGTAGTTGTACTCATGACTGAGATTTACTACAGTAAAAGAATACAAAGCAAAATCAGCAAAGGAGAAAGGTGCATGGGACCAAATCCGGAAAAAATGAGGTGCAAGTTTCAGGAGTTCTGTCCCTGGGGAGCCCCTTAGGAGTGCTTAATTCCTCCATCAGGGAGTGGTGGCAGAACATACAAGATGGTGCCTACAGAGAGGCTCATTAGAGACTAAGTACCCAAGGTTTTAATTAGGAATAGTACATAGGCACCCTGTGCCTGGTTTGTGCCAAAATTCCAGACTCAGAATGAAAGGAGGTATTCAGCATAAACCTTATTGTTTATAGAGCTTTAGCACAGTGAGCCAGTCTTATCATTGAGAAACAGTTTTATATCACTGTAGGGACAGTTTACCAGCCAGACTCCCACATGCCAGCCAAGGCTTTGCAAATAGACCTTCCGAAGGATGACCATTTGCATACCTACTATAGTAGGTCTTAATGTGAGATTTAAGAGGCTTTGGGGAAATTAGATATGCCTGTCCATTTGGTAATATTGTAAACATAATTGAATTTGAAATTTCTTTTCATTGAAGTGTTTAAACCGTAATTTAAGGATATTTATTTTACTGAAGTCACTAATATGGTATCCTCTCAGACTCTTCTTCAAACTATTGATTTCATATGTTGAAGGAATTGAATTTCTGTGCATACAATTATTTAAGCTACCAGTATTAAAAAGTTTAGTTGTAGCTAGCATTTGTTGCCCTTAATGCAGAGAAACTAAAGCAGATACCTTAAAGCAACTGAGGCCAATAGGAAAAGGGGACCAGGAACTAGAGAAAAGGTTAGATCAAAAAGAATTAACCTAGAAGGTAACACCCACGCACAGGAAATCAATGTGAGTCAATGCCCTGTATAGCTATCCTTATCTCAACCAGCAAAACCCCTTGTTCCTTCCCATTATTGCTTATACTCTCTCTACAACAAAATTAGAGATAAGGGCAAAATAGTTTCTGCTGGGTATTGAGGGGGGGAGCGGGAGGGGGTGGAGTGGGTGGTAAGGGAGGGGGTGGGGGCAGGGGGGAGAAATGAACCAAGCCTTGTATGCACATATGAATAATAAAAGAAAAATGAAAAAAAAAAAGTTAGTTGTTCCAAGTGTTATTTTGTCATTATTATTAGGCTCTATGAAAATAACTCCTTCCATGTTATTATATCATGACAAAGTATGTATTTTATAGTTTAGGGCACCTCAGATTATTAATATCCTTGGAGATGTGTACATAATTAGAAATAACAAGTGATCTTCTAGGCCAAACTGGAACTGGCAAGGATAAGACCTTTGTTAAGCTGATAATTCTGAGTAAAAGAAGTCAAGTCCCTTTTTTTCCTGGTATTACAGAAGCAGAACAGTGGACATTTGATATTTGATTAGGGAAGGAATGTTGCCTCTTGTTCTTTACCATGTAGCCAGTGCGTAGCACAATGTCTGCATAGAGAAGATGTTTTGAATACTATTGAGTTACTGAGACAAGTGAAAAGAGTAACTGGTGAGGTATCAAGGAATCTTGGTTCATTTAAAGTACCAGAAAAATGTGAGAAAGAAGAAGCATTGATGGAATTTCATGGGGATTATCAGGGATTCTCCAATAATTTATTGTCTTAATCTAGATGACTTCTGAAATGTCGAGATAGGAATAGGGAGGGGAAGTTAGCTTATCATTTAAAGGGATTGGTTATAAGAGCTTTCAGTATCCAATTTCTCATAAATGACCTTGTAAAGAAAATTTCCAAAGTATAGAACAAATGCTACCTGGTTTCTTTCCTTTTCTTTCTTTTTCTTTTTTTTTATTTTAAAGAGAAGCAATCCCTCAGTCATGATTTCTAAGCTTTTCCTTTTTAAAAAATTGATTAGTATATTGTTTTCCTTAAAGATTTAATAGATTTGGAAAAGAAAGGATCATTGCTAAATTAGATTGCTACTGCCTCACCAAAAATGTTTCCTAACTTCTTTTATAGTAACATTCAGGAGCCTTCCCAGCAATTGATTTCTTCAGGAGCTTCACCTCGGAGCATGCCTGAGAGCTTGGAGAGCCCAGGCTCTGGCAGACCAGGAGTGGCCAGCCTTACAACTGCTACTGCTTTCAAGCCTGTAGGATCCACCAGTGTTATCAAGTCACCAAGCTGGCAACGGCCGAATCAAGCAGGTATTACAAAGAAATCACTTATTGTTGGCTTTTCTTAAATGAGTGTAATTATGAAAATGTGTCCTGGTATATATGGCAGAATTCACTAGGGAAACCCATCTAAGATTTAGAAAGGACTATATAAATAACTTTTTGCTCCGAATTGACTCATCAGTGTTCTTTGTGTCTGACCCAGTTGCCCTTTGCTATGCATAAGTGTAGAATTGGACATTTGCTTACTTCACAGGTTACTCAGGAAGCGTGTTTCCAGTTATGTTGCAGCAGGATTATCCTTGGAACAGATCCTTCTGGTTTTGATGCCATATACAGATAACAATAGAAATAGCTACTACTGTGTGAGGTTTTTTCATCACTGCGACAGAATTCCTGAACAAATCAACCTAAGGGAGGAAGGATTCATTTTAGGGCTTATAGTTTCACAGGTTTTGGTTCATAGACAGCTGTCTGCAATGCAGTTAGGCCTGTGACAAGGCAGAAACATCATGGCAGAAGGATATGGTGGAGGACTGCTGTTTACCTCATAGCAGCAGTGAAGAGACAGGAAAAGGCCAGAGATAAGATTTATCACTTCAGAGGCAGTGTGGAACACCTCAGGCTCAGTCTAGAAAACTGAATTGTCATTTATTTCTACGGATAATCACTTTAAACCTCAGTTTTCAGATCTACACAATAAAAAGGTTCTATACCATTTCCTGTTTCTCCCCACATGAACAAAGTTTATAATGGTGTAACTAAAGTACCTCTGTTAACAGGAAGATGGGGCTACACTTAAATGTTGCCAATCCAAACTCAGCTTACCTCTTCTTACTCTTTATAATTTCCCTAGTTGATTTCTCATTCAGGTTTGTTTCACTACCTTACCAGTGATCCTCCAACCCCTTGGATGCCTATGTTTGCTGTCTCCTGGTGACACTTCAAATGTAGCATGTCTGAAAATATAATTTCCCACTTCTGGGAATGGGGCATCCACTCATTCACCAAAGCTAGAATGGAAACTTTGTACTGCCACCAACTCCCACATTCTCATAGTAACTAATAGCAAATTACCTAATTTTTAGTATTTCTCAGGGTTTTTTTCTCCATTAGCCTTAGTTCAGGCCCTCGCTATTGTGCTATTATTTATATATCTTAATTCACAGTGGCACATGTTACATGTTGCTAATTTTACAAAGAAAGTAGAAATGCAGTTGTCCCTTGACATTCTGTACAGATGCCAAAATCTACATATGCACAAATCCCTTAGTTAGAATGGCTTAGTATTTGTATGTAACTTACATATATCCTCCTGTGTTCTTTAAGTTGTCTCTAGATTACTTATAAATGCCCAGTGTAATGTAAATGATACATAAATAGTTGTTTTACTGTATTATTTAGAGAATATGGTGGAAAAAAGCAGCTCATACATGTTCAGTACAAATAGTTTTTTGGTTTTTTTTTTAATCAAATATTTTCAATCTGTTGTTGGTTAAGCCTGCCATTATGGGAACTGGAGATACAGAGGACTGATTGTGTTGCAGGGGGAAGAGTCTAGGCCACTACCTGCATATGTTCTAGACTATTTTAAAGGAAAAACTTTCATTACTTTTAAAAACTAAATGTGCAGACTGCTATCATCAGCATTTGAAATTTCTAGACTTAGCAAGACCTTTTGGGGAAAAATTCTGACAAAACTTAGCCATTTTGAGTTAATTCCATTTACTTAAAGCCTTTGTATGGTGATGGAGACTCATTGTAATTATTTTGTATGTGCATTTAAAAAAAACAGAAAGAAACTTTCAGAAAAATGGGTTTGGTATGGTAATTGAAAGGTAATAGGTAATAGGAAAATGCTTTGTAGGATAGAAAGGAAAAGAATAAATTCCTGAGACAGGAACTAAAGAGAAGGCAGAAATAACATAGACTGTATTAGGGAGTTCAGAAACTTATGGTTAAAATAACTATTCTGCCTCTTAAAGAATTCCAATTGATAGGGAATTCCCGGAGGGTGCAGTACTATAAGATTACCACAAGAGGGCGATAGAATCCTTTCTTCTCTGAGTCTAATTTGTTGGAATAATCAAAGCAGTTAAATCATAGCAACTGTAACCATGATTCACATGCTTAGTATTTAAAATATTGTGCTTTTTTCCAGAAGCTAGGTGAATTTAGCATGAGAATTATAACAGTGTAAAACATGTGTCATGTAACATTATAAAAACAATACTCTTAAATGTGAAATCAGTTGAATTATATCATAATCCTTAGCTGAAATCAGACATGCTTTCTGAACTCTGTTTTTCTTGTTCTAAGCTCTGAAATTTACTCAGTTATGATAGTACATGAAAGTTACTTCCTAATACAAATTTTAAAGTTCTTTGGATTTAGAGGGTGATATAGGTGTCTTATTCTGGGTTCTTGTGCACTTCACAATTCAACACAGTGAAAACAACAGTGCCAACCAAAGGAGTGCTGGACTGTGGTTAGCTGAAATACAGCATTAAAGCAAGTGGCATTGCTTTCTCACATTAAGAGCTTCAGCTGGATGTGGTTGCACATACCTGTGTATGTATTATATATACCTACTACATGGGGGGGGGGCGGAGATGGGAAGATTGAAATTTGAGGCCAGCCTGGACCACAAAAAAGTTTTCAAGATCCTATCTCAAAACAAGACAGGCATGGGGGTACATGTCTCTAATCCCTGATACACAGGAGGTAAGGCAGGAGGATCATAAGACACTATCTGAAAAATACCAAAAGCAAAAGGGTAAGAATGTGGCTCAAGTGGAGTGCCTGAGTTCAAACCCCAGTACCCTCCCAGAAAAAAAAGCTTTAGGCTTTTTTATACATCTCTGTGGGGAACCTTATGATAATTCAGTACATGTATGCAATGTACAATGATAAAATCAGGGTAATAAGCACTTCCCTCTCTTCAAAAAATCATTTTTATGTGTTGGGAATTTTGCACTCTGTATGTAACCAGCAGAGTATAAGTTTGTTGTTTTTTATTTTTATTTACTTATTTATTTATTTATATATATATATTTTTTGTGGTACTGGGGATCAAACCCAGGGCTTTGCACATGCTATGCAAGTGCTCTACTTCTGAGCTATAGCACCAACCCCTGGTTTTTTGAGACACAGTCTCACTGTGTAGCTCAGGCTGGCCTCAAACTTGAAATCTTCTTTCCTTCACCTGCCTAGTACTAGAATTATAAATATGTGCCACCCTACCTGCCTCTACCAGAGTATTTTAATATATTATTTTTAACATACAACAAGTAGGTGTCATTTTATGACAGATGCGGGTTTTTTGCAGTACTGGGGTTTAAACTCAGGGCCTTCACCTTGAACCACTCCGCCATCCCTACTTTTTTGAAGGGTTTTTTGAGACAGGGTCTCACAAACCAGTTGCCTGGGCTGGCTTTGAACCAAGATCCTCCTGATCTCTGCCTCCTGAGTAGCTGGGATTACAGGCGTGAGCCACCGGCACCGGGCCAAATGTGGTTTTAATATATAAGAAAGCATGTGTACACACGTGTGCAAGCATACATACAGGTGTTTTGGGTCAAAAGGTAAGAAATAAAAATATTTCATACTTTGCTTTATGGCTTAAAAACTAGTTTGAAAGACATGGATTTTAAGAAGTATTTTAGTCACACTTTTCTTTATTGAGTGGTGATGAATGTATTTGGGCCACAAAAACAAAACAAGACTGCCTTGAAAGGGCTGCTTGAAATTTTAAGTGCTGCCAGTGTTTTTTGAGCCTGTCATTGGTTTCTATTACATCTACTGAAGTTCTGACTTTAAGTCTTAGATCGTTTTGCTTCTGGTGTTAGATAGCCTGTGTTACCAGAAATCTTTCAGGAACACAGTAATGCTATACCAGTTGATAAATAGGAACTAGGAGTTTTGTGAACAGCATTATAGTTTAAATTGGATCATCATTTTCTCAGGCATATAGTTTAACATACACCCCTTTCCACATACACATGCTTGCCAGCCACTCACAAGAAGCTAAATATTTTAGGATGCAAAATGTCCAAAGGTAGTTTCATCAGTAGTCTAGATGAAAATAATCAGACACAAAAGAAGTGAGAATCCAACTTGAGTTTTACTAAGTTAGCAGTATGACTGCCTGTGTCTTTGGTAGACTCCTTCCATGAATAAGATGTGATAATCTCCTTAGAAATACTGACTTCAATCTAGAAAAATCCATGAAGGGGAGATTTTTCTTGTTACTTTTCAGAATCAAGAATTTGTATTTTTTCCTATATTAGTATTTCTTTTAAATTTTTTGCATGAAACCTTCATAGTGTATATAATTAATAGCTGGCTAGATTAGTGATTTCAAACCCTTTTACATTTAATGGTAAAAGTTTAAAAATATGTTTATGTAGTTTGCCTAATTTTCTGTGTAAATTGTGGATACCAGATAGGTAAGTTTGGCTCATTAGATGCAAATATATGTCTAAAATATTATTTTAGAAAATGTAATCAAACATTTTTCACAAATTCAGTGTTAAAGATTCTTTGTGCCTTTAATAATGAATGTTAGAACAGATTAATCTGCTGACTTTAATTTAATCATAGACAAAATGAAAATGATTAATTTCTAGAATATAAGCATTGCCTTGTTAGATCAGGCCCATTGTTTACTGAACTCAGTTTTCTGACAGGTAGTGGCTGTGAAGAATAGGAATGTATGCTTATAGGTATGAATTTTAGAAGGCCAGCTAGTTTGGGGTATTTTTTTTTATTTTGTTGTAAAGACAAGGTCTCCCTACGTAGCCCAGACTGACCTCAAATTTGAGATCCTCTTCAGCATCCTGTGTGCCAGGATTACAGCATGCACCACCATGTGTGGCTCTGAGGCTAGCATTTTTGAGCTGGCAATTTCTTTATTCAAATAAGGATTTTTTTTTTAAGTCTTCTAAAACATTGTAGTGAAGGTTAAATAGCATAACATTGACATACCTGGTACACAGAGGAAGGTTAAATTTCTACCCTTTATTCTTTGC